GAAGCGCCCCTGCGCGGGCGGGCCGGCGGCGGGACCCGGCTGGGCCCCGGCGTGTGCAGCGCCCCGTCACTTTGCTCAGTCTGCCGGCTCGTGCTGCCTGACAGCACAGGCGTAGGCCAGCCGGGCCGTAATCGGCCCACTTTGTTTAGATACGGATCTCCTTAGAGACCGCGCTTTCTTCCCCGTCTTGTGACAATGCTGAAGAGATGATGTGTTGCCGCCGAAGCTGCTGATGTAGGGTGCAGAAGTGAAACTCCTTGCGTTGCTCGCACAGAAGTCTGCTTCTGTGGCTCTGCAGAGGCTTGTGCCAGCGAGCCTGGAACGCACCCACGAGACGCAGAACTTCGTTTTCTTGCAACGGAGGGTAAAATAACGCAGCTCAATCCTTTGTCTTTGTTGAGCTTTATCCTGGTTTCATACATCTTGAGATTGGTTAGCGTTTACCTGAAGAATAAACCCTGCAATCTGTGCGTTTGTGGGTCTCCTGTGCGTACTGTGTGGATAGTCGTTTACTTGATGGCTACTTTTATCAGAAAGTGATGAGAAGAGGGGTAGCTTACACTGCCTTAAGGTCTTTGCTGCACGTATGATCAGCTCTCTTTCAAATCAGCCAAATAACACCAAACGGCAGAATTTATACCAGTGTTACGGCAGCTGTTGGAGAACAGAGGACAGGCGATCAAGCCAGAAAGCGCTTTGTTCAAAATTAGCCTGGCTACGTTTGAATCGTCAGACAGAAGGTGTAAAGAGCTGCAAGAGGAGCGCTGCCGTAGCGTTTTTGAGCAGGTGCTTGGAATACCTGGCCTCTGGTTCACAGCTGTACTTCTAAGGTAGACCCACTTTGATTCCTTAACGTTGGACGCAGTTAAACTCTTTATGAGTTTACCCCTAGCCCAACAGACATCATCCTTGCAAACGGAAGTGGGGTTATTTTAATGATATAATTGTGTGTTCCACACTTCGTATTTTAGGACATACTGCTCTGTGGAAGTTTAGATACAGCAGGATAACTGAGAGTCCAAGCAAGCAGGTTGCTGTGCCTTCAGGAGCCGAACGTATGCCGAGCAGTGTCAGCGCAGCGCTCGTTACCTTCATCCTTTACTGGGTTTGGATGTAAAATCTAGGAGAACGGTTAACGTGTTTAAAGTCTGCGCTGCATGGCCGCAATGCTGCCTTCCCTGTCAGTACCAGAAACCATGCTGGTTCATACTGTGTTATCTTAATGCCATGGTATTTCTGGAACCAAGCTTTTAAAAAAATGTTGTGAAGTACAGTTGAATTCATTATAAATGCATTCACTTCAGAAAAGCTGTACAGTTTTTTTTGTTTGGATGGCTGTTCTAGCTTAAGACTTTAACAAACATGAATTTTATCTATAGGGGACTATCTGCTTATTAAAAAAATCTATTTGTTTATTGTTGGATTTGTGAATGTCATCTGATGGTTGTGAGTTAGGGAAATACACAATTGCTCTGTTAAATGAGGAAGCAAATAGTTTATTTACTGGATTCAGTTAGTTTCAGGATTTTTTTTAAGCATAAATAAATGGACATTTTCCGAGATTGAGAGCCCTCCAAAGAATGAGGTGCAAGTTATGATATATCTACATTTTCCTCCCTTGGGAGAAGGACCTGGGAATCTGTGTGCTTTGGCTTGACTGGCTCTATCCTTGCGAAAGGACTGATACTCTGTAATCCCAATAAAAAGTGTTCAGCGCTTTAATAAATGTAGACCTTTTGCTCATGCCCCATTTTATCAGTAAAAACGCTTCATAGTTAGAAAACTGAACAGCATCCAAACAGTTATTCAGCATCCAGCTTCCAAAATAAAACACTGTAACTTCTCCAAAGTTATATCTGCTTTCACATTCGAAGCCCTGATATATGCAAGTCCAGTCTGCCCTGGTGCTCTTCCCCATTGCGATCTATGAATAGCTTTTTTTGGTGCGACATGCCATTGCTGTAAGCTATGTAAGCAAACTCTTACACCTTCTTCTGCTAATATCATCAAGACTTGAAGTAGCAAGATAGTATCTGACTGTTCACGTATTCCCCCTGCTCTCTGCCCCCTCATCTGGTTATGTAAGACAAAGCTCCTTTCCCTTCAAGTGTCACATGTTAGGCTGTAGAAGAAGTTTCTGAAAAATTTGAGATTAGTGTGGGCATGATCAGGAATAAATGCAAGCTTCATCTATGTGTCATTCTTGCTTTTCCAGTCAAATGTGTCTACTATTACAAGCACCATATTGCCGTTACAGAACAGTTGTTAATTACTGCAGAAGTCTGACTAGTATATCTAAACAATTGCTTTAAGTTTTGATTTCCACATTTTTATTATTAGAGATACTGATCAACGAACCAGAATAATTTATTTTTCAGAAACAAAAAACAGTTTTTCTCATTTGGCAGGCACACAAAAGCTCAAATACCCAGAAATGCAAATTAGTTTGGTATAAAGAGTGTCAGACATGAAAAAGGCATTTAAATAATGTTTTCATATGACAACAGGTTAAACCCTGTATCAGACATAAGAATCTAGAAATCTGAAACTTAGACAGCGTAGGAGCAAACAGGGTGAAAAGTTCATACTTGTACGTATTTATATACGGTGCAACTTATGACTGAGTTCTCATTTACTTTTCTTTCTTATTTGAGCTGAGCATCTTGAAGACCAATGTAATGGCCCGCTGCCCATTTTCTATCCAAAATGCTAAACAGATTAGATTTGGGTTTCAGCTTCACTTGGCATTATAATCCATTATAGATATTTCTATAGCTTAACAAAAAAACCTTGTCCTGCAAATACCTTACATTATGGTTGATAAGTCACTTTGTGACTTGTTTTAATGTACCTTTGTAGGTAACCTAACACTGATCTTATGATTCTTCCTAAAAACTTGTCAAGTCTAAGTTTTAATTTTCTTAAATTATCTTCTTTAAGGATCATTAAAGTGAGAAATAGCAGTAAGGCCTTGGCAAACCCTATTAATTGAATAAAGAGGTAGACGGGATTAATGAGACAATTACCGTCTTACAAAAAACCTGATTTATTCAGAAAATGATTTTATTCACTCAGTATAGTTTTGTGGGAAGAAGTTGCTTAAATGGAATAGCTTCTAGTTAATTGTCATTTTAAACTAACTATGATGTACACAACTCTACAGAATGAAGTCGTGTACTGGTGTGTTACCCTGAAAGTTTAACCCTGTACAGCGTTCTCCACACCCCCCTTTCCTACTGTGTAGGCCGCTATTCTCTTCAGTATAGTTCAGTATAGTTCTCAGTATGTATAGGGGAATTCCACTGAATTCCTCTTTCTTTCTGTTATGGACAAAACTTAGTTTGAAGTGACTGAGGCATTTCAGCAAACCAGCGCAACAAGCGTCGAGTGGACTTAGCGAACATTGATTTGCAAGAACTGTTAGCTTCCCAAATTCTGCTCCTGTGAAAGCAAGAAGTGGTCACTTTCAGTCATTACACGGAAAGGTTAATTTTGTCCTATACCCAACAGCATATCTTTTCTGTGTCTGTGTGTGTGTGTGTGTTTTTTTTTTTTTTAATTTCAGAGTTCCTGTTCTTCTTTCTAAAACAATTCTGAATGGCATAAGGTCTGTCTCACTTCTTTTGTGCCTTGCTATGTTGATTTTTTCATGAGGTGATAAGGAGTTTGGAGTAAGAGTGATGAATGCAACCACTAGATTCCTTCATGTAGCACCAAAGAAAGTGATGAAAGAGTCTAGATTTTGCTCTACCTTTGAGAAAGTTTTAACATGCGCAGCACAAACCTTTTTTTTAAGCTTTAGACTGGAGGTTGGCTATTGGAAATATCACTTTGATAATGAAAATGCACATCGACATGTGAAATAATAGCTGCTATAAAACAATACAGACTAGAAATGGTGGTGATATTTCATAAGCTTTATGCTACATTGTTAGCAAATACCATAACGTTTCTTCTTGTCCCATAACTTCCTAAGTGTTCTGCATTGTTTTCTAGGCACCCACTGGCCACCTTTTTCCATCTGTTTTTCCGAGTGAGTGCTATTGTTACCTACTTGTTCTGTGACTGGTTCAGCAACAGCTTTGTTGCCTGTTTTGTCACTATTCTCCTTCTCCTATCCTTTGACTTTTGGTCAGTGAAGGTAAGATGACCCTGAACAGTAATTACCTTTGAAAATGTGTTGTGTGCCATTAAATTGAAAAGGGAAGACGTAGTCTGAAAAAAAAAAAAAGTGGTAAAAACCTTGTGATCTGTTAATTTCTAAAATACATCAAGCTCATTTTCATGAAAAGACGCTTACACATCTTAGTTACTGTCTCGGTTACTAGCAGAGTGAGAAAGTTACCTTGTCTTAGGTAGATCCGTTTGCATATTTTTCCCCCTTAGAAGAAATAAAGGGGTACAAGCCTTCAGTAATGGATTCCAGAGGAGTCCAAAGCTGCAACGCGGTGCCTCTCACCAGCGTGCAAGAGCTGCAAAACGCTTCCAGGATCCCAGCCACGGCGCTGGCTCCACAACTGCCTGCGGGCGGATGGGTCCGGCCTGCACAGAATCAGTGTGGAACAAGCCCATAGTATTGGAGGTGTGAGGCATTGGTGTGTTACCCAGGATACTGAAAAGTGCTAGTATTTATCCAACGGCAAAAATATTTTCTTATTTAGTTTGCTTGATTCCATGCAGTTCACCTGGTCATAATTAATTTTTTGTTCTTTCAATGTGCTTTTGCTTGGGGTCGCCTCTCTTACTGGGAGAATTTGTTTATCAGGGGATTTTCCCAGTAACTGACTTAAGAAAGGTATGTCCTATAATTTCCTATTTAAATCAATGTTATTGGGCCAATTGTCATATTAAAACAGGAGAACAGGCCTCTGAATTTCTCTTAGCTCATCCATCCTTAATGACTGTTGCATCCAAGTTGGCATAGCTTATAGAGCTCATTTAGTGTTTGATGAAAGAAGGCGATTTTTCAGAAGCGCTTGCCATTTTTCTTAAAATGTTAATCTGACAAAGGCATTATGCAGCTGATTAACGCAAATAATTGTTTCTCACTAGAATGTGACAGGAAGACTCTTGGTTGGTTTACGCTGGTGGAACCAGATTGATGAAGATGGAAAAAGCCACTGGGTGTTTGAAGCAAAAAGGGTAAGAGTAATAGAAGTAGACGTCGGGCAAACAGAACGTATACAAATGCTTGTGAACCTGATACTCAAAGTAACTGGACTCTAGAGCACCTTTCTAACAATTACTTTTTATTCAGCTTCTATAAATGATAAAGTATTCAAAACAAAAGAATTGTAAGCACACAGGATTTGTCACATCCAGGAGTTCTTTAGTGCAAAATTTGTCTTGCAACATTTTCATCAACAGAATAAGGATGTGTTACTATATTTATGAAACATTTCTGGTAGTTCTACTATTTTATTTCCTATCAAAAACACCCTATGATAAACACATCATCCCGTAGTTAATTCCAACACACTGTTCTCTTCAGGAAAGAGCTATTTTGAAAGTAAGGTTGAATAGTTCAAATTCAGTTTCAAAAAAAAAAGTACTCCTTTCATTCATGCTCACGGAATATGCTGGCAAGTGGAACCTGGGTCATGGCACGTTTCACACTGTGGGCACCTCTCCAGGTGCCCTGGACGCCAAATGGCCCACGGTATGGCTGCCGGCTAGAGGCAAGATTGTAGCTTTCATTTTTGTTTGCTAGCCCCATTCCGGGAAGAGCTTGCTAGAACAAGGCTGTAAGAGCTACTCACTATGACACGAGTTTCATGCAAACCCAGGTGCACAGGCAGCCTAGTGCCGAGGACCGTAAAGCGCTCTGAAATGTGGGTCTGGAATGCCCTCTAGCAGCCCTGCGGCTGTTGGCAGCGCAAAGGCAGCCAGGCAGGAATGCCATACCTAGGTAAGAGCGTGGCCCAACACTGTCAGGAATGCAACAGTTACCGACTTTCTTCCTGTGACCTAACTGAAATCTGAAGGAAGAACATAGCAGAGTCTGCATGAAAGTAAAGAAACGAGAAGACCTCCAGAGTTTCTTAGTCCTGTTGAGACAGGAAGCAAGAGCTTTTGTAGCATCTAAAGCAGTACCATCCGTAAAGTGACCTCATAACTGCAAAATTATCATAAAATAAGCAAGTATACTGCCTAGTTCACATATTGCAATTTGTTAATTCTAGCCTACAAGTACAAAGATGACTCATCTGTATGGACTTAAGCCTTCCAAAAATTCTGGCAAAATAGTAGTTTGATTAGCGTGAGAAACACAGTATCATGAGAAGGACTATATAATTAGGATGGATAACATTTTAGTCATAGATTATCCATGAGCTATACTCCATCACAGCAAGACCCTGGTGCCTGCGTGATTCTCTTACTTTCCAATATCCAGTGTTCTCCACATCCCTTGTCAGTCCTCTGGCAGCCTTTTCAGACCTCTTCTTTTATAGGGTAGATTCATTTAGAAAAATTCCAAATCACTCACCAGCAATAAGCCACTGATTCCTGGTCTGCTACTGCTGGGACAAAGCTTAACCCTAAAAATCCTATTTTCTTCTGAGGATTACTGGAAGAACAGTCATTCTTACCTTTGCACTCCAAACATCACACCTCCCCTTTCTTTAAAGGGACCACAGCCTTTTGTAATCTCACTCATCAAGTTAAATAGGTCTTTCAGGTGCAGAGTTCTCAGGTTTATTGACTTCCCCCCCCTCTGAATAGTTACTGCTAATGCAAAGTCACTGCTGAGTAATTTATTATTAATTCTGGATAAAGGAGAGTAAACCCTTTTATCGACTAAGACCATCCTTTTCTATAACTTTGAAGGCATAACATCACATCATTATTCTCTGGATCCCTGCAGTGTCACCGATTTAGAGTGTATGTGAAAAGAAATTAAAGAAAGACAGCTTTTAATTAATTGATCTTGTTTGGCAGAATAGAGTAACTTAACCATGTTTACAAGTTGGATGCACTAGTCTGCTTAATATGGGATGGATGGACAAATCTCATTTGTACATGGAGAACTCAAGATGTTCAAAATGAACTACAAGGCTTTTCAGTTTTCAGAGTGGAAAAGTTCACAGGGTTTTCCTTTCCTGTTGTGAAGCTCACAGTTCAGAAGCCAGCACTGGTGGTGGGAGAGTTTGGATTCTGCTCTTCCACGAAAGAGCAGAACCTTCCAAATAATTCTCTTTACTTAGTTTCTCTGGTGTTAGGAACTAATAGTAGTCCTTTTACTGTAGATAAAGACATAGTAGTTGTGTCGACCAGAAGAAATCTGCAGCCCGGGCTTTTTGCGACCTGCCTTGATGTTTTTGTTCTCCCTGAAGTACACCAGCAGAGCACCTTGTGTAACGATGCCTCCTACAGAGACATGCCAGCAGTTGTCGTGGGTGTCCAATGCTAGCAGGCATTTTTGAAACCACATCTTCAATTCTGGAACATCAATGGACTGCATAAATAAAATTGAGGAATTAGCTAACAATACAAAACAGATTTACACTAAGATAAGCCACAGTGTGCTTTTAGAGAAGGGGATGGAAATGGGCACTGGTATGAGAATTCCTTTGTCTGAAACCAACTGATAAACCCTGTGGGGATCTTTAAAGTTTCCTTGTTAGCTGTTGGAATAGATATGCCTTGCAATTTGCACGTTAACCACTATAGCTGTTCTGATACCGAACTGAATTTTTCTTACGCTTTTGCTTTGTGAACAGGACATGCGCCATGACACTACTTTATGAGCCATAATACCACTGTCTTCCGTTCCACGCTTCTCAGAGGCCTGGATAGCTTGAGTCTAATGTTGTCAAAGCTAACTTAGTTTTTCTGTAGTTTAATTACTGGTATAGCAGAACTTTTTACTTGTAAGTCAAAGTACTTTTAATCTGTGGTGTTAGAGGCAACTGAGACTGACAACAGGAATAAAACAGCTGACTGAAATGGGAACAGAAACCAGAGCACTTTGAAAATTCTGTCATGTACAGTCGGGCAGCAGGCAGAGACCTTGGCATCAGCTATTTTTCTTCCTGTTGAATTCCTCACCTGTGCATACTAAGTGAAATTTTGGTAAAGATGTGATGTTGTCCATTCTTCTGCCTTTGCTGATTTCTTTTGTAATTTATTGTTGTTTTTGTCTTTCTGACCAAAAGCTTCAATAATTTTCTTTATAGGTATCTACAATAGCTGCCTCAACTGAAGTTGAAGCTCGAATCTTTTGGCTTGGTCTCATTATCTGTCCAGTTATTTGGACAGTGTTTTTCTTTAGCACCCTGTTTTCCTTGAAGCTGAAATGGCTGGTAAGTCTAAGGTATTGAATATGAACTACAGATGATACTGGAGGTAGGTAGAGAAAGAACCCAGAGCTGTTAATTCTGTAACAGTCTTTGAACCAAAATGTCTGACATGAAACAACCCCACTAACAGCTTCCAGTCATAAGGAGTTTTCTGGAGTCAAACCCAGCACTCTGGAATCGATTTATAATTTTTAGCCCCGCTTCTGCTAGGTTATGAGATATCAACTTTTTCATCTAACTCAAATAGAGCATCTTAACTATTGCAGCCTCATTTTTAACTGTAGCAACTTACTTTTTCCCTACTTCTGTATTTCAGTCAAAGGAAACTATTTGATAGAGGACAACAAATAAATCCGTGGTACTGGTTTTCAGGTTTCCATATCTCCTTGGGCTTCGAATGTTATTTGCTCTTACTATTGGAATAAGGCTTTTAAGTTTCTGGTACCGTTCCCTTTTGAAAGGATCAGTGTTATGGTGCTTAAAAAAATCTTGATAAATTCAGCTATAATTACTGTATAGCTTATAAATACAATAGTTAGTTATCTGCTCTGTGAAGGAAAAGAAAATCATTATACATAGTTCCAAATAGTAAAAGAGGACATTTACCTCACAGATTGCATTATGCAAAGATGCTTTTTGTCTCTGAAATCTTCATGGTCTCCCCTGTAAAATTATTTCCTCGAATAATTGCCATTCATATTGTCAAATCACCTATTGTGCTAGATCAGAAGCCTCTAAGTACAATTTCTTTAAAAGTTTTGGAAAGATAAAAATGTAAGTGTCTTCCGCACATGCTGCTATATAACACATAACCACCAAGCTAACATTTTGTTACTAAACGGAACAGGAAATTCAGATACATGTAAGAATAAATTGCAAATTTATAATTGCTTTTTAGTGCTCAAAACCGCATAGCTAAACAAATAATAGTTGCAAGTTAAACTGGCTGCGTTTCCTCCACAGTTCCACCTTTCTTTTTGAAAGCAAGAGACTGTTTGCTAGACTGAGCGCTAGTTGGCAAAGGGAGCCAAGCTAGTACTGAAGAGAAAGGTTTTTCAGGTAACAGTAATTGTAAAAGGTGAGGGTTACACAAAGGAAAATTTGATAGCTTCCAGGATGTTGTTTCTGAGGCTATTTTTGTCATGTCTGTGAAAAACACTAAGAAAAACATTTTTAAAAATGATTTCATTAGTCAATTAGTTGGATAAATGGATTCTGCCTACTGCTAAGCTTACAGTACCATAAAAGAACCTAATTATTTTCAATGCCAGTTAATGCTACATATTGGTTCATATCTATTGATACTCTGTAAATCAGTAAGTTACAGGGTCTTATTGTATATATAGTAAGGCAGTTGCTGATAAACAAACCTGCAGGCTTGCTATATATCCAGAAATAAGTTTTGAGATGCAAAGCAGGCTTAAAAAGAGGTGGAATGATTATGGAGTCAAAAGATAGCCTTTGGAATGATTTTAAGACCATAACAAGTTCTTTCACAATGCAGAATGACTTTAGCTGGGGAAAAAAGAGAGATATTTTGTAGAAAGGGACTCGTGTTTGTAAGTAGTGTGACCCAACTGAAGGCATATTCCATTCTTATGGCATTTATATACATGTATGCATATGTACATAGTTTATATGTAGCAGTGTGTTTTTCCCAGCTAAACAACTTTTCTCTGTCCATAGGCTCTTGTGATAGCCGGGATCTCCCTTCAGACTGCCAATTTATATGGATACATCCATTGTAAATTAGGGGGACAAAAAAGCATCAGCAGAGTAACGCCAAGGTTTTTTGTTGCAGCAGATGTTTCCAAGAGTAAGTACTAAGCGGGTTTGTCACTTATAGCTCATAAAACATCAGATACTGCCCTGCTGCATGCTGTTGGGTTTGGGTCTTTCGAGATACTAGTTCTTAAGTTTCTGCAAGTTTCTCGCTGGGCTAGCCTGATTCTCCCAGAAACCCTTCTTGCGGGATTCTAGTGGCAGGCTGTACCCTGTGTCACTTTGCTCCCATATTCTAGCCAAACTCAGAAGCCTGCTGTCCTTTTGTCTCTACCCAACTGGACCTCTTCCAAGCCTGATTAAGAATTTCCTCAGAGGGAGGTCTTCTGACATATATAATGTCTTTACTTAGGCAGAAATTTTCACTGCCTGAGCCCTCTGGCTTCCACCAGGCTCTTCCCTGCTGATAAAAGATTCATACACATGAGGTTAACTGAACAGCCACATTTCATATGTTCGTTCTACAGGACAGACAAGGAGAATTTCAGAAAACCGCATTGAAGAACATGGAAACACAGCCAGTAGATAATCAAATAAGGACAAACTAAAAAAACTGGATGAGCAGTAAAAACATTAATTTATGAAAACTGTTCTTCCTATGAAGATATTGAAGTAAAGCTCTCTAGACTTGTGCGTGCATGAAATACAGATTTTCTGTCACTTACATTTTTAAGGTCTTTAGACTCTAAAAGGTTGGAGGCTAATGCTACTTACTTTAACTAGAAATTTCATCGAAAGGCAGTTTCTATAGGCAAGAAAATAGAGCTTACTGTTTATAAGCAGAGACACTTAAGAAATAAATCTGTAAACTGACCTGAAACTTGGATGGTCTTAACCGAGAACTAAGATGAAATAAAAGAAATGCTTATTTGATTAGTTTTGGAAATACAATAAAGTTAGTTTTCCCTACTGTACACAGTACTGATTCCTCAATAAAAAGTGGAAATACAATCACAAAAAGCCTCTTGGTTATTTAAGATACTGAGTATTTATTGTTTAGTGGTCAGGCTTAAAATCTAGTAGAAGAAACAATATGAAATCAGGCAGCAAGTTCATAGAATGCTTGTTTTGTGAAGCAGCCACAGTTATGTTTAAATAATTAAAATTAATCAATCTTATTCTGATACAGTATTTAATTTATTATAGGTATGTGCACTAATAATTTTAAGTTGCCTAAACTCTAGGAAGATTTTTATTTTAAAAGTGATGCTGATTAAAAAAAGAGGGGACAATACTATACTGAAAAATCCATTCTAAATATAGATCTTTTCCACTGAAAGAAAAAGATACTCAAGTGAGCTTATTCAGTAAGAGAGGTGAGAGCGCATTACAATTAACATTAGTACACAGTGCAGGAAAAAAAAATCCTACTATTGATTTAGTGACTCAGTTAAGTTTATATACATGTAAGTTAGCTATATGAGCTATAATGCCCCAATATCAGTGAAATATATTTCATATTCAAGTTCCTGAATAAAGTCTTGTATATACATGTCTTCAGAAGCCAACTTTATATTCAGTATTAGTACCATGACATTAGATGCAGAGTGCATCTTTGTAACACACATAAAGGCTCAGTTTCATAACATTCTAGCAGGCTTTCCAACTACCTGAGAACTACAAGAATCTGAAAAGTACTATGGAAAAACTAAGGCAAGGACTTTATTAAGAATTTATTTGCAATATACAAAAAGAATACATTCTTTCTATTCAAGGCATAAGTTACATTTTTATAATTAATGTGAACTATGTTTTTATTCCATTCATTGATTCAGATAATCTTTTCTTCTTGAAAATGCTGTAGATCACAGTATTCCTGAACCCCTGCAAAGACAGCGGGGGGGGGGGAAGTAATATAAATAGTATTTCAGTCACACATCATGGGTTACTGTTGCATCAGTCTGTCCCCTATCAGCACAAATATCACAAGTTGGGTCTTTATCATGGCCAGAATGGCTTCAGAAATTTCCCAGCTGTTTGTATTTTAAAACCTGCATATCATCTGCTCTTTAGGTACTTTTTGTATGTTTTCTGTGTCATTACTATCAGAAGAGTAGGGGCAATAATTAGCCAATGAACTCCCCTCAATAGACCTCCATGAGAATTTTAAAAATTCTCTGTGAAAGCAAGGATACCCACATCTTTTCTGAAAATTGATGATTTAAGCCAAACACTGAAACTAACTCCCAAAAACAAGTAAATATGGTAGTTTCATATGGTAGTCTCATAATTGCTACACACATGCTCTGCAGAGTGCATAGCATTATTAATAGGCAGAATAAAATAATTCTGTTTAGCACCATCATATATTGTAGAAGGTAAGTGCTCAGAACCGAGAGGATCTATTCACATAGCAGTTTTCAGACTTACTTTGAATGATACTCCTGTAAGATAATGTAGCTGGAGACTCAGGTACTTCAGACAAGAAAGACTGCCCTTTATCACAACTTTTTCCTTGAAGGACAGAGAAAAACATTACGAAAGCAAAGCAACAAGACAGATGAGCTTGTTCTCGATTTTACTTTTATCCCAGCCGTACCATTCCAAACAGCCACTTGCTTCTATTCCCCTTAAGAAGCTCTAATTATAAACGGAAGGACTACAGAACTTGTAGTTTTCCAAAGAAATACTTGGTAGCAAAAAACTTCAGTCATTCTTTTCAAAGTACTGACTGTTTCCTTGACATTACTGAATAAAGTATTAATTGCTGATAACTTGGTTCTTCCCCCCCTCGCTATCCCATTATCCACAAGTAAATTTGGGCAACACCAGTAACAGCAGCTTGGTAAAGTGGAAGTGCTAGTTTTAAAGCTTAATGTTTATAAGATGCTATTCTGGCAGTGGTATGATTTCATTCAGTCTGTTTTTAGGTGATCATACCAAAGAGAAAGATATAATCATGTTCTAAGTATATTGTATAGCTGACAAGCCAAGATTAAGTATCAGTTTAAGGAATTACCACTTTTCTCTTTCCACATCAAGCTATGTCACAGTTCCAGTAGTAACTTGATTTCCAACCCTCCCCCCCCCAAAAAAAAAATCTTCGTAAAAGTAGATATTTACCTAAGAGACAATGTTTACTATTATAGTTTATCAGTGTCTGAGTCAGGGTTTTCCAGTAATGACACTAATAAGAGCACTGTAACAAAGATAACAGTAGGTACAACTGGTTTCAAACCTAGTGCAAGACAGTAACATACCTATTTGAGGATCTAGAGGCACTTTACCCAGGAGGGAGATATTTAGGGCCTGGCACATCTTCTCTGCACCTCCGGTAGTTGGGGGAAAGATCTGAGATTCATTCTGTGACAACATGAAAAATGACAAAATATGACAATTTTGAGAACAAGGCATTTTAGAAGTAGTTTTATATATATAGACAACATCACAATTGAAAAAAAAAAAAAAAAAAAAAGAAGAATGCTGCCAGATGCAAACTGCCTTCCTTACCTTACACTTTGGACATATAAAGCCACTCATATTTTCAACAACACCTATGATAGGCAATTTTACTTTATGACAGAAGTTGATCTCCTTCCGAACATCCTGAAGTGATACTTCCTACAAATAAGAAAAAATTGTGTTGTTTTGATAGTCCATAAGCAGAACTTGAAGTACATCCTTAGAGCTATTTTAAAGAAAGTTTATAATGAATTACTGCTCTCTTCATATTTTGAAAAAACAAAACTTGTTAGGTACTCTACCAACAAGTTATGACTAGCAATGAACAGATAGAACAGTTATAGCCCTCTGCTGAATGTGGTTCCATTTTGAAATCTGATTTAATTCTTGTAGAGATTCAGCCATATTTGTTTTATCCCCTACATTCATCTTGTATCTTTAGTTCTTTAAATGAAGCTTTCCACATTTTCAGTTTACAGAAAGACCCTTAGCATTCTCCACAGAGCAGAGAAAAACAAGAACCATGAGGCTTACACTCGCTATTTCTTTTCAAATTAAAATCTGAAATAGCTTACCATTCCCTCAAATTTTTCTCATATATGCCTGCCCTCATTTAGTTCTCCTGTTTGCTTCTCCTTGCTTGCCCTCATTTAGTTCTCCTGTTTGCTTCTCCTTGCTTGCCCTCATTTAGTTCTCCTGTTTGCTTCTCCTTCCCTCATTACCTATCTTGTGTTACCCTTACCACTTCACTTTCTTTACATTTTATTCCTTCATCTGTTCTTAGAAATACTAAGTACCTTCTGCTAGTTTCATCTCCTGCTCCTTTCCAAACCAGACATTAAATCCTATGTTTGAATTTGATAAATTTTAGATTTCAGTTGTCCAGGGGCTGATTCTTCTTTTCATAAAATTTCATAAACTTTCACAAAGTTGTCTACTGTCTATTTGCAAGTCAAGCCTTCCATGAGATTGTAAGTTTTCTGCCTGAAGTTGTCTCCTCTCTGAAAAATTTATGCAAGAGACTAATGTTGTAGTCTTGAGGCAACAGGCTGTTTTACTTACTGTCAAACAGTGTACATCTTATCACTTAAATCCAAAGCTTTACTAACTTCTGAACGTTTAACCACTGATTATTAAATAACAATTTTGCAGTGATGTCAATTGTAACCTTGAAGAGGGAAGTGAAACTCCCTTCAGTTCACAGTCAAAAGCTGTCAGGAAGTGACATGTTCAGTGGTTTGCAGGCTATAACTGACCCACTTAGATTCTTTACTCCAGTGAGACATCCAGCTAACCCGAAAACCAGCCATCCGTAGGCACAAAACAAGCCAATCAATTTATGTAGAATCTGTACAGTCATTTCTCTGGTCAGAGATTCTAAACCAAGGATTTGCTTTAACTGCCATGACACTTACATCTAAGGAAATGAAATTCCCTTACCTGAGGGGTGGTGATTATAACAGCACCATCTATGTGTGTTGCACTGAGATACTGCACGATAGATAAATGTTCATCTGATGTACCTGGAGGTGTATCTACAATAAGATAGTCGATTTCACCCCAATCCACATCACGAAGAAATTGTTTGATCAACCCTAGAAGAAAGCATAAGAATGTGGAACAGAAAAAAAAAACCATATACATACACACACACATTCACACATCTGAAATTTTAAAGTCTAGGTATGCAGTTTCTTCTGATTACTCTCAATTTAAGTAAAAAATGTTTATGTTGTCAAGGCTTAAAACACATATATATAGCACATTTGACCCACTGTCTGCTATTCAAAAAGACTGGCAGGAATACTGAGAAAGCATTCTCTAATGAAAGTTTATCTTGAGCTGAAATGCAACCAACAACCCTATAACTTGGTGCATGGCTCTATGATGAAAATATATTTACTTAGAGATCTGCTCTGCCGAATTTGGGTGGGGTGAGATGGGTTGGGGTGGAGAAGTATTTTACTATAATTGCAGAACCAGCATGAATGACTAGAACAAAATCAAGCTCATAACTCTGTTGAGTAGTTGACTCCACTATTTCTAGTTAGTTACAGGTTATTAGCTATCTTTATGTACAGCAGGAAAATACAATGCTTCAAGCTACAGTTTTGTCTATAGAATTATACAGGGCCGTACACAGGATGAATGTCACAAAGACACTGTTTTTTTAATTAAGATTTCTGAGTTGACAAGCTTCCTCTTAGAAAACACACTTTTTAAACTTAGCAGACTATAACTGAAGCAAAGTTCAGAAATTCAGAACTGCTATGTTATTTTTTTTAGTGCAGTCCCACTAAATTCCAAAGCATTCTATTCCATTTTCCTGTTTTCACCCCGCTGTAAAACGTTTTACAGTTGTTTCAACAATTAGGTATATTCTATTCCCATAGATTACTGTTTCAAAAGAGGAAAAAGCAACATGAAGTGGGACTTGAAAAAGAAAGGGAAAAAGAAACCCTTATTCCTTTTGCAGAACTAAAATCAGTCTTTATTACTACAGATTCAAAGCGACTGCAGCCCTTATCATCTCTAGTTGAACACATGCATTGGATGAAATTAAAAGGTTCTGCAAATTGCAAAACCAAAGCATTACCCTCTTGTGTAACTAGACTGTTTTCTCAGTTTTTCCCATGGCTTACTACACAAGGTTTATGTTATTAATTAAACTCATCAAATGATATTTCATCTTTAAAGCAGATCCATTATTGGTGAAAACATTAGATACATACCATTTTTTTTTGGTCCTCTCCAGATGACAGCATCATCAGGACTACTGAGCAAGAACCCCACTGACATGACACCCAAGTTTTCTTCAACATACTAAAAGAGAAGAAGTACAACAGTAAAAAAATCCATTCCAAAAAAACAGATTTCATTGAAGTAGTAATTTCAGTGGGGGAATTTAAAAAAAGGACATTAAGAAAACTAAGGCAGATAGCCTTATTCTTCCCTTTTACTAAAGGAAGTTAAACACAGGTCCTTGTGCAACACTAATTGATCTAATGAGTCATCTTGTTAACAGACAAACGGACTTGTCATTTGTCATTAGCTGAGGGTAATTAAAAAAATTGAAAAATATTGAAAAAAAAGCAGAGAAACTAACATCATCTCTGTCATCACCACTTGGACTTATTTAGTCCAGTACACTGGAACATGTGACAAAAACTCATCTAACTACATTCACGGACGAGCAAAGAATTAGAGGTAAGTTTAACAGTGATTTATGGAATCACTGGAGGCAACACGAGGCTAAAAACCACCTTCCTTCTCAGCATCCAGTCTGTCTCTGTTTCTCTCTCTTTTTCTAAAAGATACATTACCTTTAGCATGTATCCTATTAACAACAAAAGCACATGCCATTTCCCCATGTTTTCTGCAGATCAACAAACTTTTTTTTGCCTGTGTTTACAATACTTTCTTTTTGTCTGTCACTGAAAGGGTAACATGCTGCACATCTTGCCTAACAACCGAAAAGAATGAAATCAAATAGCCAGTATTTATTGCCCTTACTAACATGGTGTAGTAGGAAAGCCAGTACAAAAAAGAAATACATTTACAATGATAAAACTATATTGGAAATATGGTTTTATTATTAACAAAAGTAATTTAAAGCTCTTATTTATACAGTCTGTAGCCAGATTCCATAGAATATGGACATTCGTGTCACTGGACAAAGCATGAGTAGGTAGGCCCCTGCTCCCCCCACCTTCCCCTTACAGAACAGTCCTCAGCCCATAAACTACTTTTTGCAACAGTTTAACCAACTCACCACTGGAGACCATCCAGAACCACTCTGATGAACCTGAAAATTGAAGCAATACATGAAATAAATCAGAAATAAATACAGAAATTACATAATACATGAACAATGAAAGTCAAAACTGCTGAAGACATCTGCTGCCTATAAATGCAATACTACTGTTAAGTGAAAAACTACAGAGTACCCTGACCTCCATTAATAGTGGAACAGTAAAGTCTGTTCAGGTGAATCATGCAAATGTTACTTAACGAGCTGACTCGCTAGTTTAGTATAACTGTTGAACCTTTTGGCAGAAAATTTATCCCTGATTTTACATATTTATAAATAATATTCTAGAAATGTTAAAGATCATTGTGCTTCCCCTACTTAAGTTTTAAATAGTCATGAATATGTGATAGATAATCAGTAAAAGCTGGGTATGATGCAATTGGTACGGGCAATTAACTAACTTGCTCAAACATACCCAAATGCCTCAGGAAGGTTCAGCTCTTCTGAGGCCAGCAAACATTTGTGCCCTGAATCAAGCACATGGCAACAACTTTCAACCAATACTAGAAGTACCATCACTGGAACAGAAAGTTTAAGTTCTCTTACCTCACGTTAACTGGAAAAGTCTTCAAGGAAAGACCTTGCTAATTAGTACGCTTCACTTCAAAAATAGTACAGCAGTCCTCCACTTCTCAGAAACTCAACAGCTAGCTACTTGAACAAGGACTTGTTTCTCAGCTTTGTAAGAAAAACTTTCCTCCTCTGCAACTTACTGTGAAGTACTAGTGAAACACAGTATTTTGTTCTTTTATTCTACTAATAAAACTGATGTTGCAAAAGACTTTTAAATATCAAATTTTAAATAAACTGTTTTACAACTCACTAGCCTACTACTAGCTGCTCACTTTGTTCATTTGCAGAACTGGCCATCCTGAAAGCAGACAGCTCTTTTGTACTAAGTCATCACTATGAAAGCTACAGAAATATACCTGCTCTCCTTCCAAACCCATCATTTTAGGGATTGACGGCCCACAAATATCTATATCCAGCAGAGCAACCTGAAAGAAAAGAGACCACTGGAAACGCCTTTGCATCGGGCTGTTTGCAGAGACCAACTCATTCAATGAAGACGCTAAAATGCACTTGGCAACGGAGATAGTTTAAGTTTTTAACGAGGAGGGGCGTGCGGTGAGCGGCTCGGCCATGGCACGGCACGGCACGGCCCGGCCCGCTCCCCCGCTGACAGGA